TTCTAGTTTAAGTGGGTAAAGCAGTTACTGTGACTTAAAGCTCTCTCAGTAATCAGTTTGCCCCCCCCCCCCCCCCCCCCCCCCCCCCCCCCCCAATTCACCGACTACTCTTTCCCTCATCGAAGTAGTTGAGAGGGAAAAAAAAAACCAATTGAAAAGCAATTAAAACAGGAAAAATACACCAGAATTAGGAAATGAATGCTATGGTAAACAGCACAGCCTAAAATTCCAACGCATATAAAATAATTAAATCTAAATGAAAATAAATGGAAAGCTATGAAATTTCAGCGTAACCATGCAATCGAAAAGTTTAAAATGAAATCATAAGTATGTGAAATGGTCAAATTTAATTATCAACTGGTTTACCCACAAACCTGTCCTTGTTTTTTTTTTTTTTTTTTTTTTTTTTTTTTTTTTTTTTTCTTTTTTAAATATATATCATTAAGGGCCATATGCCCATAGTGCTGTCGCCACGACAGTGCAGGTAAGGATTTTATTTTGGCCCTAAGTAAAAAAAAAAAAAGCTACTGAGGATTCGAACCCTGGTCTCACTCTCAAAAGCCGAGTGTTCTAACCATTCGACCAAGCAACCACTCGATCGAGTAACGAAAAGAGAATATAACTATTTTAGATGTGTGTCCCTACTGCAGTGTCCCGATTTTAACACAACTCAAAACAGCAGGCAATTGTTTTCTCATAGACAGATATTCCAAATATATTAATGAAACGGCACAACAAAAGAAATCGCACGTGTCCAACACGGTTAATGTCGCAGTCAATGTCTGCGCAGACGTCGAGATAGTCCCTGATGCGCCCTCCCCCCCCCCCCCCCTCTTTTTCCCTACCAATCCATCGGCTACTTTTCCAACACATCGAAGAATGTTTGAAAAAAAAAAACAGAAAATAGAAATCGTGTCTAATATAGTTTTTGTGGCAATCACTACCTGCACAGATATAGATATAGCCTTGTTTGCTGTATCACGACCTACTCTATGTATTAGAGGAGGTGTTGGCTGCACGGCGCATGCGTAATTACTAACGTGGCTATAATTAGAAATCACTAAAATTATAAATATTAGTTTCGAATATTATGGCCTAATTTGTGGTCACCTATCTCTAACAGTGACAGGTTCAATTTCAAACCATGATGGTTGAACATCCGGTATCAAAACGAACATATCCTGAAAATTTCAGCTCAATCGGTTCAGTAGTTTCCGAGTCTATAGGGGGCAAACAAACATACAAACATTGATTTTTATATATATAGATGTAACTATTAGCTACTCCCCTTTCCCATTTTTCTACCCCCTCCCCCCCCCCCCCCCCCCACCCCTCATTTAAAAAAAAAAAACTCGACATTTCATGTCTTCATATGTTGCCTTTACTAAGATGATAATTTTCTGTGGGATTCCATGGTGCGCCAATAATTTCCAGAGATATTTACTGTCAAAAGCTTTCTCATAGTCTATAAATCCAATGTAAAGTGATGAGTTCAATTTAATGCTTTACTCTATTACTTGAGTTAGAAGAAGAAGGAGCACTTATGGATTACTACCCGTGTGCCATGATGTTGATCCGTTGTTTAAAACATCAAACCTCAAACTCTATTTTTATACGCAATGTGGTTATCTGGTCAGTACAGGATCTGTTTAGCCGAAAAACTGCATATTCATCATTTAGCTTTTCATCAATTGCATCTTTTAGTATTTGCAAAATAATCCTACTTTATAGTTTTCCATGAACTGACAGCAACATAATTCCGTTATAGTTCTTACATTTCTGTAGACCACCTTTGTTGAGCAGTTTCACAAGAAATGCTTCTCTCCAGTCTCCTGGTGTTTCTTCGGATCCCAGACTTTACTAAATAATCTATGTAGCTATTCAGTTGATGTGTTTTCATTGGCCTTGATAACTTCTGCTAAGATACCATCTGCAGCTGCCGTCTTTCCTTCCTTCAGAAGATTGGTAGCTTTTCTAATTGCCTCTCTCAGATGCATCCGTCACTTTGAAGGAAACATCCATAATTAGTCGACTTGTGGGACATGTTTGATGGATGGTGGCGAGGAAGGGGAGTAGATCTCACACAATGAGGCCCCGAAGCTGACGCTAAGATGTTGGACATCGGTGTTGGCCAGCATGGCACACTCTTCGATCGCAAAATGCGTACTGATACAACAAAACATGGGTGGGGTGGGGGAGGGGGGTGCACTGCAAATTATATTGGGATTCAGCCCTCTTACACATGTTCTTGGTGAAAGGGGCCTCAATGAGCCTCAGCTCCCAGTTTTGGGGGCCCCTGTATGCGAGGCAAGCGTGTGTTGTTCGTCCACCACCAGTGATGAAGACCACATTTCATCCAAAGTAGCAGTTATCAATGATTATTAACACGAAGGTGGCGGATTAGTCCAATATGAACCCAGAAAGTTCTTGAGCAGTGCTGATAACAGCTGGAAGCCGCTGTAAGTGTGGAGTTAGAGATACGATTCCCTCTAGTCTGCCTCCGTCTCTCTGCCTGTGCAACCTCCGCCGCCTGACAGGACGATGCACAATGCCTGAGAGATGTAGGTCAACCAGAAAGATCCTGTGCAACAAACAGTCTCCCATGTTTACGTGTTCATGCCCAAAGAATTGAGAGCAGCTTTGAAAGTGTCCTTACAGCGCTTTTTCTGTGTTTCCTGGGACCTCTTTCTTTGGGAGGCGATAGTCTGACACGCAGCTGACAACTCTTCAGGATCGTGTTGACGTTAGGCAGGTTTGCCCTATCAAGACCCTCAGTATTTTGGATCCTATCTTGCCATTTGATTTTGAGCGGCTTTCTGAGACAAGTTATTTGAAACTGATTCAACTTTTTAGCATGGCGCTGATACACAGTCAACGTTTCAGCAGTGGGGGCAAGCGGACTAAACAATCAAGAGGCATATAGTTTGCCATGATTGATAATTCATTGCAGGATATAAATAACAGTGGTCTCTGTAGCGAGTTGTTTGAAGTTTGAACAACGGACCAACACCATAAGGGCTCCATTCTTCTTCTAACTCAAGTCTGAGTCCGAAGAAGCTCAGCACAGTGCACAGACTCTGTAGCACTGGCGGGATCTTGAAATACTTTAGATAGATTTTAAACTCCAAATTTTGCCCGCTCAGCGCTGTTAGGCTACTCTTTCAGATTTCCAACTGCCAAGGGATTTTTAACTTGCGCAAAAATGCACACTGGCGTCAGATCCCACTACCCAGAGACCAGGGGGAATTACTACAAGTCCAAGTCCACATAAAAAAATATCAGCCCTTAACGGGGATTGAACCCAGAACCTCCAGCACTCGAGGCGGACACCATGCCACGAGACCACAATTTCTCCCTTATAGAGAGTAGTAAAGCCGTTTACCTGCCGCACTGAATGTCGTGTGTTCACTCCATGGATTGGTCATTGAGTTCGAGAGTGCAATTTTAAAGCAGATCCTTGTAAATCCTCGCTAGAGCTACGGTGTTCGTGATTTCTGTGAAGCTCTCTCTTTAGCTGACTAGCCGTTCTGCTGAGAGAGACTGAGCCATATTGGATACAACCCGTGAACTAGATCCTGTTGACTGTTGGCTTTGTTTTCACAGGAAGTGAAAACCAATCAGACAAACGTGATGGTTGACAAGGAGAAGCGGGAACTTGTTGCTCCTGGCAACACTCTCAAGGAAACTGTTGATGGGTATGTTGTTACTGATTTATTCTTCTTCTCCTTTTTCTTTTCTTTTTCCTTCTTCTTCTTCGTCTTCATCATCTTCTTCTTCTTCTTCTTCTTCTTCTTCTTCTTCTTCTTCTTCTTCTTCTTCTTCTTCTTCTTCTTCTTCTTCTTCTTCTTCTTCTTCTTCTTTCTCCTCCTTTTCCTCCTCCGCCTCCTCCTCCTTAACCTTCTTCTTCTTCATGTTAAAAAAAAACACTTCAAAAGTTTATAAATCCACGGGAATAATTGATCGTATTTGCTGATAATGGCTTTTTAGCTTCAAAGTTTGTTTGGTCTTCGTGATTAGGTTCTCCTGAAGAGCTTGTTAGTTCAGGTTTGCGTTTTGATTAATTTTTTTCCCTCTCAACATTTTCCAAGGTTTTCTTGCAGATGAATAGTTTCATATTACGTCACAAGATCGGATTTATGCACGCCAACATTCTAAGAATATGATACCGTATGTGATTGTTTGGTGCGGGTAGTTTCTGGATGCTGTGTTTGTTTGCTGTTGGCCTGGACGAGACTGCAATTTGTTTCACTATCTCCGCAAGGGACAACGATTGTCGTCCTGTTTGTTCACGTAAACGGAGCACTTACCGGGTGATTCGTTTACAGTGAAGATGGAACTGTGACTAACTAACTAGTTGCCTCACACACAAACTAACCAACTAGTATCATGTGTATTCAATAACCTACCGTGCGAAATGAATTATGATGATTGATAGATTCAGTGATTCTTCTTCTTCTTCACGTTCACCAGCTGTATACTCTGGCAGAAAGATCTGGTTTTCATCCACTTCTGGACTGCAGTCATGTTCCAGAACCTGAGTGTTGCGTGTGCATCCGTTTTACAGATCTGACTCATTTCTATGATTGAGTGATTGATTGACTGGCACTTCTCCGTCTTTCCAAACGATAGTGTTATATTGCGCTATGAGGAGGCATTGGACTCACAACCCATGGCGATGACGATTGTGACTAGCAAGACCCGCCTGTGTCAAGAAAAGTTTTCCACAATGATAGCAAGGGATTTCTGACTATTGTTGTCAACATTTGTATTTAATCCGTGTCTTCTTCGACGTACAGCTCTCATCTTTTCTGCAATGATGTCTTCCTTCACTCTTATTCCCTTCCGAATTATGATGACTGTAAAATGTATTGTACTTTTTGTCACATGACAGGGCGGCTACTATAGACACACTCTTGGAGGTGACAGGGGGCTGTGGAAGGTTCCAGACTGTCTTTGTGGCTGTGGGGTACCTGCCTGTGCTGTGCTCCGCTTGGTGTCTGATGTTCATGGTCTTCGGAAGCTTCAACCCGGGATGGACATGTCTGGATGATCCTCCCAGCAACGGTACAGCGTTAATGGGAAATGCCACAAATATTTCAATGTTTACCATCCACAAAGGATGGAACGTCAGTGGAAATACGGACTCTGGATTCGATTGTTACAATATGAAGACGTGTAACAACATATCCTTTAACAAGGAAGCCTCTACCGTTGTTACTAAATGGGCGTTGGTGTGTGAAAACTCCTGGCCACTGCCGGTGATCATCTCCATCCAGATGGCGGGGGTGGCTCTGGGATCGTATCTGGGTGGACAGGTCGGCGAGAAGTTGGGCAGGAAGGTCAGCATCTATGGCAGTTTGGCTATCATGGTCGTCATGAACGTTGTGGCAGTATTTTCAGTTTCCTGGGAGATGTATGCCTTTGTCCTCTTCTTTACTGGACTTGCCAACGGCTGCATCCTATCCTCTTTGATAGTACTGGTTATTGAGTTCCTCAATACGTGGTGGAGGGGGTTCATCGGCGCATTCCCGTTTTGGAACGTGGCTACGCTGTCTTTCGCTCTGTGTGTTCTAGTTCTGAAAGATTGGAAACACGTCCACCTTTCGATTGCCGCCCTCTCCCTCATTTCCTTTTTGCCCGTGTTTTGGGTTCCCGAGAGCATGCGGTTTTTGACAGTTCACGGAAACATTACAGAAGCAAACAAAGTAGTGAGAAAGATTGCTAAATGGAACAAAAAACCACTGCCCAATACGAGTATTTTAAATACAATAGCAGAAGAAGAAAAGAAGATCATGAATAAGACAAAACAGTACACTTATTTAGACCTTTTTCGCAAACCTGTCAGGAAAACTAATATTATCCTTGGATTAACATGGTTAATTCTTTCTATCGGATACTTTGTGGTTGGATTTGGAATTAAGTCGCTTTACGGCGATTTCTTTGTTAACTTTCTGTTGTATTCAGTTGTTTCAATCCCTATGAGAATAGTTGCAGCAGTTTTAGCAACAAAAGTGGGTAGAAAGTTCACGTCTGCGTTCTTCGTATGCTTGACTTGTGGCTGTTCGCTTTCGGTGGTTGTCATTCAGCTTCTGGCGCCCTTGGACATCCAGGGAACAGCAACTGCCGTCATGGCTTTAGGTGCTAGCATGATGACGGAGGCTGGTTGGGGAGTTGTGGTGGTGTTAGTTGTAGAACTGAATCCTACATCTATCCGAAACCTGGCCTATGGATACTGTAATGGTTTAGCAAGAACTGGGTCAATTATCGCCCCTTTTCTTATTCCTAGAGAGACGTTTCCCATGTTTGGGGCATTTCTTTTGCTAGGTCTTCTTCAGCTTGTCGGCTTCCTTGGTATACTGATGCTGCATGAGACCAAGAACAAACCTCTCCAGGATAATCTGCTGAAGAAGCCGTCACGAATAAACAATCGGCCCAATGAAGTCAGTCAGTCATGGCCTGATGTTGACACATCTTCACGATCTACACTTGACATAGTCATGCGTGTCTAGGCCTTGAATAGCATTCAAAAATTATGTGCCGTCTTCACAATGAAGGCTGACTGCAATAGATCTTCAACGCACTCTGTCTTTTGACCTAGATGAGCACTCTCTGAGACTGCTGATCATCCAACATTTCATGTCGTCCATCCAAAGCTGGAATATCAGCCGCCAGTTTTTGTTGATTTTGTTAAGACCTGGACATCAGCTATCAGCTATTGTTGTGAATGCAAATATCATCCAGCAGATATTGTTGTTTATACCTAGACCTGCAATATCAGCCAAAGGCTTTAGTTTTTAATGTATAAAATATTACGTCATCACTGTGAGGTTTTCACAAACAAGTATTACAAAAATATTATATTACATTATATGAAGTTTCCTTAAGTGTCGCTATAGGGAAACAGTAGCATGGACATGGTTGGAGGTACAGCCTGCATTGAGTTCCCATAAATTACCCGCCAACCATTGAGTTTCTATGGCTATAGCATGCTTAGACGCAAGTAAACCAGTTTTGTTTTGTTTTTCCTGTGTTTTTTTTTTTTTTTCCTTCAGAACAATAAATTCACTTGTAATGGGTCCCTTTGGCAGGACTTCTCAAGCAGAGCAATGAAATGTTATGTGGAGACGGTTCTGTTGACCATCAGCTATATTGCTTTATCCCAGTGTTTCCAAACTAGATAAGACCCCTCTTATTTTAGATGATCTGCCATGAACTTCGTCAATCAATCAATCATTCAATCATTCAGTCAATCAGCATGTCATGTCCTTTACTGAACATCATTATCTTCACGACACCCCTGAAAGTCTCTCTTCGTCTTGTCCAGCGGTTCTCAACCTGTGGGTCGCGACTCTGTTTTGAGTGTGGTGTGAGAGAGGGGGGGGGGGGTCGAAAGACCCTTTCACATGGGCCGTCCGTCTAAGACCATCAGAAAAAACATATTCACTGAAGTAACGAAAATAATTATTTGTTGGAGGTCACCACAACATGAGGAACTGTATTAGGCAGGTTGAGAACCTCTGTTCTAGTCACTTCTCCAGCCCTGTGTGCTTTCATAGCCAGCGCATCTTCAATGTCTGTATCCACCTTCGCCTGCCTTTCCCTCGTCCTCCAGAAATTGCACACTCCATCACCGTTCTCGCCAGACTACTACGGTGCTTGACATGTCCAAAATACCCCAACCTTCGGGACAGGATGCTGTTTATGAACGAGTTCTCCTTAATGTTCAGGTCATGCAGGATGTCAACGTTGTTTTTCTTCTTGGTCCACAGAGTTTTGATCAAGTTTCTGTAGCATTTCAGAACAAAAGCTTCGATTTTGTTTCTCCGAAGACTGAGGTTTGAGGTTTGGTTTGAACAACGGACCAACATCATGGCACCCATAAGTGCTCCGTTCTTTTTCTAACTCAAGTTTCAATCCGAAGAAGCTCAGCACAGTTTACTTGCTCAGAAGCACCAGCAAGAATCCTGAAATACTTTGGATTTTAACTGCAAAATTCGCCCGAGCAGCGCCGTTAGGCTACTCTTTTCGATTTCCAACTGCCAAGGAATATTTTACGTGCGTAACAATGCACACGGGCGTCCGATCTCACTACCCATAGACCAAGGGCATTACTAGAAGTCCAAGTCCACGTGAAAAAATCCCAGCTCTTACGGGGGATTGAACCCGGAACCTCCAGTACTCTATGACTCCCACCCATAAGTTGCCATGGACAAGATATGGACCCTATAGTTAATTCTATTTCTATTTTTTTTAAACAGGATGTAGTTTGGTGTGCTTTACTAGACGTTGCAAAAAAAAAAAAAAAAGCTTTTCCCTCCCCTCCCTCCACCCCCTTTATTTAAATGACTTTTTGTGATTTTACTATAAAAATTTTACATTCAGTAGTTTGCCATTACTTGCTTCCCAAATGGTCGTCTGTAGATACTCCTGGCGAAATTCGACCGCATCTGGGATTGCACCGGGACCACAGGATTAGGAAGCGTGTTGGCAACGCCAAAACAAACGAAAAATGTTCCTTTTTTTTCAAATGATGTCACTGATTCCCTAAAGTCTAAACCCACTAGCGTGCGGGGATGATCATCTGGGAGCAACTGCTCAAATCTATGTGTTTGTCGCTGATTTCTATAAGTGTCAATCAGTAACGGAAGTTACCTCTAAGTCTGTATATTATAACATCACTATCATGTGCTGGACCTATTCACGTTTCCCGGCCTTTCTACACACTGGGTGACCTTTCATTCAAACTTTCTCAGACCGCTCTACGTCATAGGGGTGTCAAGGTGTCTTGCCTCCAATTACATCAGCGCCGCTGTCGCATGTTCTATGCTACGCGACCACACAGCTTTTAATGAACCCCAGAACATGTAAAAACTGGCCCTAAAAAGCCTGAGCCTTAGTCCCACGAGAGAACGTTTTCGAAGTAAATAGTACAACCTGACACCCCTCTGACCTAGACCAGGCCGTGAAAGTGTGTAGATGAACCGGGACGCGTAAAAATGACCAATGTGCCTTGCCAGACAGTGTGAGTGTGTGTGTGTCACGCCCTGCTCACCACCTAACACATATTCCTGACAAATAATTGGGTGGAAAATAACACCTTTCAGTGCCTCCACACACACACACACACACACACACACACACACACACACACACATACACACAGACTAGAGCGGACTGACCCCCCTTCCCCTCCCCCATAATGCTCATAATGACCTAAAGGGGCAAACGTACCTGCTTTAACCATTATCACACTCTACGTTTTTTTAAAGCACTTGATTTATTTATAGAAAAGAATCTTGACACGCAACAACACATTTTGACAGAGGTTTGTGACAAGCCACAAAAGCTACATCCATTACATTCTTTCAGGCTGTTGTTTGTGTTGTTTTGTTTCACCCCTGACAATTTACAAATTATCATTGTGATAGCTTGTGACAATTGTGCAGTGTGTTGTACTCATTTTGTTATTGACTTAAAGAACAGCAGTGGTAATTCTTGATAGAGAACACGCAGTTGTGGACTGGTAGAGATAACTTTTCTTGCTTGTTATTTTAGTTCAGCTTTATTTTCTCTTTTTATAAATTTTTTTTTCCTCATAATATCCTTTTTCTCGCCCACTCATACATCTCCCCGTTCCTCTTTGTTGCTTTCTTCTTCGCTCTCCTCCTCCTCTTCTTTTTTATGCTTGTTGTTGTTGTTGTTCTTCTTCTTCTTCTTCCTTTCTTCTTCTTCTTCTTCTTTTTTTTCTCCCTCCTCCTTCTCGTCTTCTTTTTCTTCTTATTTTCTTCTTCTTCTTCATCCATTTCTTACTCACCCTTCTCTTTCTCCTCATCGTCCACCTCCATTTTTTTCTTCATCATTGTTATATGCGATCTGTGAGGTGGATCGCATATCCGGGAAGAGTCTAGGGTAAGGATCATGCTTCGACCATATCTACAAACGTTCTTTAATCGAAAATGTACCACCAACACTATAATAACAGTCCAACTCCAATACACTTACAGTCATCTATACTAGTGCATCAGTCTCTTTATTCATTAGCCAACTTTTACGGGACAAGGAACTGGTAGTCAGTAAGTGAACACTATCTCCAAACTTCCACAGTTCAAACGCACCAGGGTAATGAAATAACACAAATATTGCTTACAAGGAGATACACATCCGCTCTATGTCACTGACCGAGTGGCACTCACGTGGTCAGACATACCACGAGGTTAACGTTCATCGGCCAGTCATACCTGGGTCTCACAATACCAACGGAGAGCGCTGCTACCCGTTAATCTCAAGTCTTACGCTTCAGATAGCGTGGATCTTTTGCACTCGCCTCTAACTCCTAACCCGTTAATCTCATGTCTTACCCTTCAGGAAGCGTGGACCTTGTGCACTCGCCTCTAACCCCTAACCCGTTAATCTCGTCTTACGCTTCAGATAGCGTGGACCTTTTGCGCTCGCCTCTAACTCTTAACCCGTTAATCTCATGTCTTACCCTTCAGGCAGCGTGGACCTTTTGCACTCCCCTTTATCATCATCATCATACGCTAGCGCCTTGATGACTGGCGTCGGCGATCATGCCTTTGATCTCTGAAACACTTGAACAGCAAAGTGATTTCAGCACACAACAATCATTGTCGTCATCATCACCATCATAATAATCATCATCATCATGTTATTATTATTTTGATTATTAATATGATTATTATTATTCTCATCCTCCTTCTAGGCCCTCTCCTTCTGCCTCTTCTTCTTCTTCTTTTTCTTCTTCTTCTTCTTTTTCTTCTTCTTCTTCTTCTTTTTTTCTTCTTCCTCTTCCTCTGCTTCTTTTTCTTCTTATTCTGCTTCTTTATTGTTTTGGTAAAATTTGCCCGAGGTACAACGAAGATGCTGTTGAAGATTTTTTTCTTGTTTATCTACTTTTTATTCTTTTTTCTTCTCCTCCGTTTTGTTCTTTGTTTTTTTCCTTTTTCCTGTTATTTATTCGTTTACAGTGTGTCGAGAGTACAAAACATGAGAAGATGTGTTATTTTTAGTTGAGTAAAACTATATGTACACAATTAATTTGGCAAATAAGGATACAAAAAAAGACAGTCTAGTTTCTGAATGAGTTCATTTCTGTTGCATTATTCTTGTAATTATCACTATGTTGTAGAAATGGATATGTTGAACAATTTCCGTGTTGTCTCTTCTGTCAGTCAGATAACGTTTGTGTTAAAATGTCGGATGTAACAGTGAGAAGATAAAGTCACAAGAAGGGTCATCCTGCTTGTTTTTTCGTATTCTTCCAAATTTACAGAAGAAGACAATCAAACTAACAGAAGCAGAAAAAGAAGAAGAAGAATTAGAAGAAGAAGAAGAAAAAGAAGAAGAAGAAGAAGAAGAAGAAGAAGAAGAAGAAGAAGAAGAAGAAGAAGAAGAAGAAGAAGAAGAAGAAGAAGAAGAAGAAGAAGAAGAAGAAGAAGAAGAAGAAGAAGAAGAAGAAGAAGAAGAAGAAGAAGAAGAAGAAGAAGAAGAA